TACTTATTCGGTGAAGCGGGAACCGTGAATTATTTTCGATGTTGAAATTAAGCACACGTTGGTGCGTTGGTTCATCTTGTGTGGCTGGCATGCCGGCGTCTTGGCCACAACTGTCTGGCCTGGGCTGGTGATGTGTGTGTTTTGCCCTTTGCTGGCTGCTTGCAGTTGGTAGGCTGTGGGTGCATGCGTCCGGCCTTGGTGCTATCAGGCAGGTTTGGCGCCGTGCGACCCGATCTAAATACAGTGTCAGGCGGGGAGTTTGACTGGGTGGTACATCTGCCATATCGTAGCGCAGTTGTCCCAGGGTGAGCTCAGCCAGGACAGAAATCTGGTGTGGAGTAAAAAGGCAAAAGCTTACTTGATTTCGATTTTCAGTACGAACACAGACCGTGAAAGCGTGGCCTAGCGGTCCTCCTGATCAACCGATATTTAGAGTTTGAAGAGATGTCAGAAAAGTAACCACAAGGATAACCGCCTTGTAGCGGCGACGTCGCTTTTTGATCCTTCGATGTCGATTTCCGGCCTACTAGGCCAGAAATGGCCATTCCAGTCTCCTTTTATCGACAGTGTTCTCTTAATTATCAGACTGTTGACCAATCAGTGAGTGGTTTGTCACTATTAATACTGACATGTGTACACGTGTTTCCTCGCGGTAACTACAACTCACGTTCGCGCTTACGTGTTTCTGCAACTTTTTAATGTGTATCCTTTTTCCCCTTTTAGGTACAATGCTTCCTCGTACTTTTCAGAGGTTGTTGCCCAGTCACGTGGCTGGCTCTCAGCCATTCAAGACTGGGTCAGCGTATTCCTGACTTGTCTCTTTGCTTTTGTTTCCACCATCATCCTCTGGAACGCTCTAGGCTCTGTCGTTTGGTTCTTCTCACTCAGGTACGCTGCTTCTCATCTGTGTACTTTTATTGCAAAAATACTGCTACTTAAATGGTTGTGGTAGTATCTAAATTCGATGTTAAAGACATGTTTTGCTTCGATCGCCCAGGTGGTTTTTGCATGCACAGCCAGCCCTCGGTGTACTGGGCCAGCCACTGAGTGGGCAGAACGTGGAAGAAAAGGCACAGCTCATCCGTAGTTCATTGAAGCCAAGTCGCCTGTTGGACCTTGGAGTTATCCGAAGTCAGCATTCAAGGGAGACAAATCTGAGCGTGGATTCTCCCTTTCCCGCGGTCCTACGGTCCGCATAGGCTTGTAGTCAGCATAGTAACCCATTGGGTTAAACGGGCACGCTCTTAATGAACAGCCTGCTTTTGTGGATCGATTGGATCGAAACACCTCTGGCGTTTGGGACAGCAGAGTAGCGGCCTTAGCCTCATTAAGTTGCTTGCTGCTGTACCGGGAAATGCAATGCGGTTACCGGGAGCCTTTTCAGGCGGTTTTACTGAGGTCCTCACCGGGAGCCTTTTTTCATAAGCAGTAATACAAATCACAAGAACCGGATCTGGAGTAACCGGCAGCAAACCCTCCGATGTTCTTGTATTACGGTTTTTCTTCACCCTAGGCGTGTTTCATCGTCTGCAGGGTTTCGTTTCATCAGTCGTCGTCGTGCGATCGCTTGCGCAAACCCGACACAGAGTTCTCGGAGCTTCCGTCTTTTACTCAGCTCAGATCACAGGAACGTCACTTCAAGATATGGAGTCCAGAACCCCTTGTCGCAACCGATAGAATGCTACTTAGCTCTGTTTGGATGCAGATAAATGTATGTTCAACTCTCGTTGATGAACGTTCACGTGACCGCTAACCGAATGCATCTGTCCCTCTCTGCCTTGGGCCTCGACAGAAGCCCTGGCAGCTGTATCAGCTGGTAGTACAGTAGCCGCCGGCTATTAAGCCCACCTCGGGCCCAGACCAAATTGGG